GATCAGAAGCCGGTATTCCGGGATAAACCCAGTCGCTTTTACTGTACCACCCGTCTACGGTAAGATGCTCGCTATCGCAAAAAAAAGCTCTGCTGACGGCTTCCGCAGGAATGAGCCATGTACCCCACTCTAGATTCCTCGAAATTCACTGTTCTGCCATTTCCCCCCGAGGTTCTCTCCCAAATCTACAAGGAATGCCTTGAGATAGCATCTCCTGGAGACCCCGCGTTCACCACCTCCCTCCTGCTCTTGCCATCGATCTACAACCTGCCAGCCCCCGATCTTTATCGCACCATCACCCTCAACGCGAACAACATCGCCTCTTTCTTGGATCCCTGGACTGATTGGTTCTTCAATTAGTTCTGTGGCTGCTGGGGTGAGGGCTGTCAAGAAGATCATTCCGTGAACTAGAATATCTCTCTCGCCAGTACCGTCTGCTCAGTCCGCCCTTTTCTCGCATTCACCGCCATTCAAAGCATGACCTTCCAAGACGTAGCTGCGCTCTCCCTCTTCTAGAACTTCTTCACATGACCACACACTTCCCATGGAATCTGTATTGTGTTTCCGAATACCGGGCGTCTTACGAATTCTTGGTCACCAGGCTGCCAGCTCTCATCTTTGAGGCGCGCGCGTTCGACCATTCCCCTGAAGCCTATATGGTATGGCTCAGGTACCTGGAAGGGTCTTTACCAGCTATCAGAGCTAGGACGATATACATCACGATGCACGACGCCGGTCTGACGACAACCGTGAACAAGAGTCTATCAGCACTTTTGACCGCAGCGGGGAGCAGACTCCATCATGTGCAGGTCAGAAACTGCACAAGCCCGCGAGAGTTTGAGTGGTGTCCTCCCCGGAATGACGTCTCTATCGTTTTTGAACTTCCGCGATCGAGGACTACAGTCAATGAGTTGAGATGGGAACAGACAAAATCGGCACGGGTGATGGTTGAAAAGGCAAAGGTCGAACAGGCAATGGCTAGACAGAAGATGTTTGAACGACAACAAGGGGACTTGAAACGATCTTTGGTGAAAAGCTATATAGGCTATATTCAACGTGTTCTTTCCTATCCTAAGTCTCTTCCTTGACTCTTGCCCCAACTCTAGAGCACTAATGAGCTTTCAGACCGGATCATAGACCACCCATAGGTTTCTGCCGAGCGCCTTTCAAGGTGCACGATTTCATCAATGCCTTACGAAATTAGAAAGTATCAAGAGATGTCAAAAATGGCTCACTTTCCCCGGCCATTCCACTATCTCAGTCCTCTGAGTAAGCCACATCGCACACAGACAGTACACGCCTAGCCTCCGGGTCCTTTCTTCGAGTATGCTTTCCTCATTTGATGTACGTCGACGGCCTGGTGAAGGACAGTACATGCCTGCCATCCGCGAAATTCAGTCCAGAGGGGGCGAACACAAGCGGGGCAGCGCTCGAGAGCCATTTTTGAGTGATTGCTTCGGCTGCCCAAGACAAGGAAGCACGCACGACACCAATGCGTTGCCCGACTTGCCCGGATATCAGGGCAGACTACCAAAGTGCCGGACAATTTATGGGTATTACAGAGCGGCCAGAGCTTCAGTCAACACCCAGCAGTGGTGAGATGAAGGGACGTGAAGGGACGGCGGACGTGTGGTTGATTGTCCGTGGCTACAACGGCTGAGTTGAAAGGTCGTGTGTCGTCGTGTGCCGCTGATGGATCGATAGCAGAGACAGGGCAAGGCAAGGCATACACCCGGCGGAAGTTGGAAGGGAGGCTGTCAATGGACTTGCTAGGAGATGAAATAGATAGAAGAAAAGGTGTATTCAATAATCCTCGAGTAAACGAGTACAGACTTACAGAGTCGGCGTTCCTAATCAATCAGAGCCCGGAAGTAATCGAGAACGCGTCGACGCGCTTGTTCCATCACCTATCAAAAATCACGTCTCACCTCGGCTGAAACCCCAAATTACATCGGCGGATACTAGACAAATGCCTGTCACGAAAAATGATCGGCATGATGGGCGCCCGGTGAGTACTGCCGACCAATAATCGATCACGGCTGACAGGATATCCAGGTATTCGTCGCGGAGACAGAGGATGTCCGAGAGTTTGCGAGGCTATTGAGAGGAGTTGGACTAAAGCATGTGCGCATAAACTGCCCCGGGAGCACTCCAAGTGGCTGATAGTTCCAGAATGCAATAATGGAGGTCCAGGAGAACATGATGATCGTCACCGTCGAAGACTCTCGGACACTCTGCGGTAAGTATCGACTACTGCATAGAACCAGATGCTGACATATTCACAGCCCTGTCCTATATCCCAACCACAATATTCAGCTCCTGGACATTCCATCAGCCTACAGACGATCCTCCAATGTTTGAGTTCTCCCTCGACTCCATGCTCCAATGTCTCAACATATTCGGCAACGCCGGGTCATCTGGCAAAGACTTCAACATCAAAGCCAAGAAACGGTGGGCTGGAGAGGGCGATGGTCTGAATATCTCAGGTGAAGGAGGAGATGATGATAGGCGGTATACGAGAGACAAGAGGGGGATGACGGGTATGAGGATGGAATGGATGGGTCCTGGATATGAGCTTACCTTGCTCTTGTACGTTCTCCACATCGCCTTGATAAAACCGGCTTATACGTGGGGGTAAGCTGACTTTGGTACAGACAGGATGAACATAAAGGCCCAACAACGACTTGCTCTCTGCGGACGCTTGAACCAGAAGAGATCCTCAATCCTTCCTTCCATGTCGAAGACCTGTAAGCCCGATACCAATTCTCACTCCTCAAACTGACATATTATCTCCAGTAACCTCAACATGATCATGCAATCCGAGTCCTTCCGCAACGCCCTTCTCGACCTACCCCCTTCCTCCAACCGTATAACCATCACCGCCAAACCCCCTTACGATGGCGAAGGCTCCGAGGGAGAAGCCGATGCCGATGAGTCAGGTGGCAATGCACGGAGGAGGCGCAAGGTCCGACATGAGCAGGGGCAGTTCACTATCAAAGCAGAAGGCGATCTAGGGACTGTTGAGCTGGAGCACCCGAATGACCGGGATATCATGCAGTCCTTCGCTTGTGTCGAGGGTGGGATGAAATACAGGTGAGCTTCTTCCTATCACATACAAAGGTGACAAGGCTGATACACCTAGCTACCATTCGGTACACTTTTCGCATCTCGCCAAAGCTCTGCAGGGGTCTATCAAGATTTGTTTGCAGATAGATGACGAGGGGGTGCTCAATGCGCAGATCATGGTGGCGGAAGGGGACGAAATTGGCGGGCATCGCGGATTACTGGAGTACAAGGTCAGTCTTTTGTTTAAACATGGTCCGGCTACTGACATCGCTATAGATGCAGGCGCTGGAGGAAGCGGAAGAGTAGATCATTGCATCATTGACATTCATGCTAATTGTTGTATCGTACAAGTCATTTACACTCATGCATTTTTGTAGCCATTTTCAATCACACAACACCAAGATGTGATACACATCATCGATTATCGCAAACGCAGTACCTCGACCAACAGAACAGCCCTTACGCCATTTCTGCAGTGGTTTTCAAGTCATCAATCACCGACTCCAAAATGCCGACCTTCCATCCGTCCTCCTCAAACTGTCTCAAGAACATCAAGGCCACACTCAACCTGTCCGACACACTGCCCAACAACAACCTCCCTCGTTCTTGAAACCTCTGCAAACGACTTGCCTCTTCGAGTTCCTCCTTGGCCATTTTTAACGTCTGATTGATTCCCTTTGTTTCAGGTATATGCTCCAGAATAGACAAAGAGCGAGAGACGGTAGCTTGAAAGGCGTGGAATCGTTGGGTGCCGGCGAGGTAGGTTGTGATACCTTGAGTCACGGCGGCGGAGATGGCCTCCTCGGTGAGGAGGGAGGTCTTGCTGCGGGGCCTGTTGCGGGACGGCGAAGAGGAAGAATTGTTGTCGAGCTGGCTGAAGGCGCTATGGTAGTCGGGGCTAGCTGGTCGATGTCTGGCGGCGGGGGCGGCCCGAGTGGAGCCGCCAGAGGTGAGGCCGTTATCGACGAGGATCCTGACGAGGGACTCTATGTTGGCCACTAGGGTCCCGATGGACTGTGTCATGTAGAGTCAGTATAACTTGCTATGAAAGAACAGAGAAGATCAACTTACAGATCCATGGTCGATCCCATCACAGCTCAGGGATAATAATGCCGCCAACACTCTATCAAGCTTCTCTTGTACTTCTTTGCCGGCTGCCTTTGAATCCTACAAGACAAGATAAGTCAGTACGAACAATCATGGGGAAAAGCGAATGCACGCGGACCACAGAATCTGACAATCTCCCGCGATCGCTCATGGTAATATGACCTTCAGCCATGTAGCCGAGCAAGTCGCTCAAGAGGGTGATGGGCTCGGGCTGGATACGATAAATGGTGGTATCTATATCATCGAGTCGTTGAAGGATCCTGTTCGCCTGACCGTAGTGTGTCAGTCTCCAGTCGAAAAGGGCTGACAAGATACGTACCAGGGAAGGCTTGTTGGGAAGCTCGGTATCCTTGTCCATGAGGTCCTCGGCGGCAATTCCGCAGTCAGGCTCGGAAGGGACCTCTGACCAAGTAAAGGCGCTGGGCTCTGCCGTCGTGTCGAGTCGGTGATACTAGAGGGCATGGCGTCACTCTGTATGTGTCCAGTGTTGAATGTGCAAAGGAAGGAAGGTATGAAGAGCCAGGAGAGATGAGCGGGAATGTAATTATTGACAGCGGAACCGAGTGAGAAGAACGTTGGTGGATGACGACGACGCGGACAAAGCCGGAGGACTTTCCTGCTGCTGATGGCCTTTTTTGCGTACCTTTCTCCATGTATCATCACACACCTCCACTTCAGGGGCTCCGTCCTTATCTATGTTGATCAGCAACTTTATATATATGAGAACAATTGGCGCAGCGTCAGTCTCGGGACGACGACGCGCCGACCTCCTTCTCTCCCTGTCTGCTGTCCAGAAAAAAAAGATAGGCAAAAAGCGATAAAAGAAATACACCGTAAGGGAGTCGAACCCTTGCCGCAACTAGATTATTTAATGGCAAAGTTGCATGATACCGTTTCACCAACGGTGTTTAAATCAGGTAAGCTATGCCACCTCATTGGAATGTAGATCTTACAACACGTATCAGTCATATTAGTTGCTATACTGGATCAGCGCCGTTTACATTCCGCTTTTGACCAAGTTTGTCTTATAGCAGCAGCCAGCAGGTAATGTACTATTGCTTCACCAACGATGTTGATGATACAGCCATGAGGGCAACAAGTAACATCCCCACAGTCGCTATTGTGTGGTTGCTCTTATGCGCCGGCTTTAGGCATATCTCGTCTCGTCACAAAATACAGCGGCATGTATTGCATGATGATAGATGTACAGGCATACATTACCTATGAAATAACTATTTCGTCAGGAAGGGAAAGTATAACTTACAAGTTCTAAGATATTTTACTAGACGACGCCAGCATTCGCTGCCCCATACGTAGCCAGCAATCGGTAAAAGGTCCGGCGACATTAGCACATACTGCGTGTTCTGCTTCTCCATCAACTCTTTGATCGCCGCCTCTGTCTCCTCCTGCTCCCTCTCGGTCCGTTCATCCAGCTCTCTTGGGCCCATGAGGTCATCATCGTCGGATTCGTCTTCGGAGCAATTGTCCTCTAAACCTTCCATTTCATCGCTCTTGCTCTTCTGATACGGCCCCTGGTTTTGCGGTGGGAGCTGTTGTCTAGGCGCAGATGGGGTGGTTGCTGAAGGTAAATTGGGGTTGTCGACGCTAGAGCTCAGAGGTCATCGCTCGAGAAGGCGCTGGTCTGAAAAGCAGTCAAGCTTTGCGCATTTCAATTCGCCGCGACCCAATTTACCAGACAGGACCAGCCGCACATACCATCCCCTCGCTCTGTCAACCACTGCCCTTGTTATTCCTTGACGGTTGGGCATCTTGCTCATTCTTGAAGGTGTCATTGTTGCAGCCAATGTTGAGATCGGACTCAGACATATTCAGATTGGGAGGAAGGCCCGCCATTGCGACGGTTAGTCGGGAAGACGTTGGAGTGGCTGCTGAATAGACTGGTTTATTATCATGTCGAATGCACAACTGACCATGGAATGCAAGACCTGGGCACAATCTGGGTCCTGGGTGTATAACGGGCCCAGGGATCTCAGAGCACAATGTATGCGTGAGAGTGTGTGGGCCTTTTCGAGGATCTTTGAGAAAGCGTCAAACTCTCCAACATCACCGAGCGACTTTGGCTCCAAGCCGTCCCAGTCGTCAAACGGCAGGCAATGTATGACGATGGTCTTCTCGCCCTCTCCGCTGTGAGCTTCAGCTATTGCGCGCTATAAACCAATGGATTTCATCATGCATATACGTTACGTGCCCCTGGTGCTTGACACACTCGACAGCGAATGACAGCAAACCCAAAGGGCCAAATTGATTCCGCCCTGGCGGCCCTGTCCGCGCCGATGGAAGCCGAAAAGTCGTCGACTCTGTGCTTTCTCTGACTTTCTCTTCCAATTCTTCCCCCAAAAGCACGCAAGATGCACTCCCGCCCAGTCTTCCTCCGCGCCCTTAGACTACGACAGATTCCCCTCCAGCCCCGGCTCCTCCCCATCCGACCCCAGTCCCTCCGCCCCATCTCCTCCACCGCTCGCCTTTTGGAAGACAAAAAGTCTGAAAAGAAGCGTCAACAACCTGAAGACAATGGTCCTCCTCGGTCCCCTTGGGCTGTATTCACCCAGGTCTTGAAGGAGGAGATTGACAAGAACAAGGGATGGCAGGATAATGTGAAGCAGCTGCAGGGTGATGTGGACAAGATGGCCGACTCGGCGGCGATGAAGAAGATGCGAGAAGGGTACGAAAAGGCCAGGGTAAGTGATTACATATTTCATGAAGGGTGCTTGGTGCTGACAATACTAGCTTGCCAACTTGATCAAAAACAACCCTCGAATCCAATCAGCCGTCGGCGACCTCCAAAAAGCCGGTATTTCCGTCCACGACGCCGTCCAACACGCCCTTCGTGACTCTGAAGTCCTCAGAGCCATCTCTGCCGCTTCCAACCGTTTCGTCTCTGCCACTTACGATGCCACCGCCCCCATCCGTGACACCAAGGCCTACAAGCTCATGGCCGAGTCTATCGAGGAGGCTTTCGACGATGAGACTGGCGTGGGAAGCAGGTACGGTGGGTACCAGGAGAAGGAGGCGAGGAGAAAGAAGAGAGAGATGAGGGCCAAGAAGGCCGGAAGGACCGCTGTGAAGCGGGTGGAGGAAAACCCGGAGGCTGGAGAGGCTTTGGTGCTGTCAGACAAGCCCGAGACACCGTCTCGACTCGCATTCATCAAAGAGTCTGCCACCTACCAGCGATGGCTTGAGACCTATTACGAATCCGAATCACCCTTCATCTCTGCCATCCGAACCGTCGGCACCAAGGTGGGCTCGCTCTTTGAGGAGAACGAGACCGCGCAGGTGATCCGAACGCTCAAGGCTATGGACCCGAACTTTAACATGGACCGATGGACAGGAGAGCTCAGAGAGTACATTGTCCCGGAGGTGGTTGACGCGTACCTGTCTGCGGACAGAGAGAGCTTGAAACAGTGGTGTGGCGAGGCTGTAAGTGCTTCACGATCCCTCCGATCTCGACTGACATTCGATAGACGTTCAACGTCCTCTGGGCGACCATGGGCCAGTACATCAAGCAGGGCCTCGTCTCTGACAGTAAAATCCTCGATATCAAGCACGTCGACATCGCCAACGGCAAAATGCTTGAAAACGACATTCCCGTGTTTGTCATCACCTTTGCCACTCAAGAACAGCTCCTGTTCCGTTCGGCTCGTACAGGCCAAGTCGTGGTTGGATCGGAGGATGATGTGGAGCAGTGCAGGTACGCGATGGTGGTGACAAGGCTGGAGACTGAGCTGGAGAATGAGTTGACGGGAGGATGGAAGGTTGTGGAAGTGAGTTTTTGCCCGTATACGTATGGAAGCCAGCTGATGTATCGGATAGATGGCGAGGAGAGGTGCCAAGGGAGGGTTGTAAACGATATCATGAGCATGCATTCCACACCATTCGGCTTGCATCGCTTCCTGTCAACCTTTGTAGCGTTCCTCATCCTGCTGGACCAGTCACCGTGGCGTAGTGAGTCCGTCGATCCGTGTGCAAGTCCCTCGAATCACAATACCTGCCAAATTTCTCACGTTTGACAGGATCCGGGGTGCATGGGATCCACTAGATGCTACGGCTGACCGACAGAGGTAAAGATCCACGAGGAGGAAAAATCGCGCCTCGCCTATTCTTCTTCCGCGCTGTCATACACACGCACTGCTCATCCCGTCAACTCGCGATCCGCAGGCGGCCACCATCAAGCATGCACAAGACGCCGAGAGCATGAGGCCTCCATTGGTCACTGTCCAGGGTACAAGTAGACTGATGTTGTCTTTAACGCCACTCGACCTGACTCTATCATCCATCGTAATATCGCAGGCGATAGAGCAAGAGTCAAACCGCCAACAAGCAAGGTCTCCTTCTTCGGATATTCACACCATGCCTCCCAAGCCAGAGGTTGTGATAAACATACAGCAAGGTTCGGTGGAAGCAGACCGAACCGCCGAAGAGGTGTTGGCGGACGAGTTTGGAGATGTGATATCGGGGGATACAAGCAGCATTGCAGCTCTGGTCAAAGGGGCGGTCGACATGATGGCCACTGTAATGACCTCGGGAGACCTTTGGCGGTTCTCTCTCGACACCTTCCCAGAAGGAGATGAGGTCGACGAATGCTGGGAAACAAAGAAAGGTGCTTTGATTTGCGGGTAGAGAAAGAACTAGTTGCTGCCTCGCGAAAGCTCGTCGAGGCCGTGGGGACGAAGAACAGTCCCGAGGTGATTGCTGTGTCGTGTAGACTTGACCCCCTCTAGTAGACAAGCTGGGAAGTAGTCGCATGAGAGTCGTTTAGATTATTGAGGACCGTCTGGATCCCAGCTGGACAATTGCGCCTCACCATCAATTGGCCCGATACACAAGAGGACACCGGACGAGAGTTGTCCGGTTGCGGGGGAGCTGACGCGTCACAGTATGACTAGCGCAGGGGGACAAGGGAATCAGCGCGTCTCCGCAAAGCACTACCCAAAAAAACCTGAATTCGAAAGGAATGAACAGGTAATTCGTGACCTCACTGCTCCAGGACCTGTGGGATATTGCCCCGAGGGAGCACCTCAAGCGTCCGGAAGCGGGACTGGTGAGTAGTCTTGCCGTACTGAGAGCAATAACTGACTATACGGGGTAGCAACCGAAAGCACCGCTGCTTACTCTGCAGAGTGTGCCACCAAGAAACGGGCACCAAATAGAAGAAGGTCGGCAAGAAGGGCACCGACAACATGGGCACTACTTCGCCCTCCGCCAACCAGCTCTCCTCCCCTGATGTGAGTCATGGTGTCTCTCATGGAGAGCCCGTCACTCCTGTCTCATCTGGCGGTAAACGGCTGACGCTAGTCACCAGTGAAACACCCTCATCATGAAAGGCGGATGGATGTGGTCATCTACAAGAGTTTGAATAATCTGGGACGCCCAATGAGCATGAGGGGGCTATATCGAGAACCATATGCACAATTGTATATAAGCCTCCGTACAGACGTGACTCCTTGACCAGAACCACATACGAGGCAGCGGAGATCGCCGCCAAGCTGCCACCGACCGGTCTTCCGTCGAAGAATTTTTGAACATTGTCAACATTCCTCAGACAGCAGCTCGAACGAGCAAAATCATCCCACAAATAGGGGCAGCACGGCAGTTCAGTCCATTCTCGGCACTCGACAAGTATCCCCCCCTTTTTAGCCCCAAAAATCGCTCCACAGCGAGCTCAAATTCGACATGTCCGCCTTCCCCAAAGTCTACACCGTCAACGGCCCCTCCTCCACCTCCGCCTCTGCCCTTCCCTCCTGGCTTGCAGTAAAGTCCAAGCCCTCCGGCAAGCACAAGAAACGCACAAAAACCCAACACACTGTTGGCGACCTCGAGCTCATCCAAGACTTTAAATTTCCCGGCCAGGCGATCAAGATCAAGACGACCGAAGATGGGTTACATGCTA